AAGGGTCCGCTAACACGACATGAGCTTTATGTATGAAGAATGAGCATGGCACGACATAACTATTTATGGCCAATTTAGAGTGGTCATTATTGTGGAAACATACTTTGTATGTATAATCATCACATATGTGCATACATACCGGGGGTATGTTTATTTTTTCATTGAAACTTTAATTGTATATTTTGTGTCACTAGTTGTGGTGCGCGCGCAATGCGCCCCCCAGCGTTATGCTATGAATGATAATGAAGGTGCTTGGATGTTGTTAATTTGGGATTTGTACAATGAAAAAAGGGTTACGATGTGGTGTATCGTATGTCCTATCATTTTTTGTACTGGTTGATGGTATTATGCTTTAATGAACATGGTGTACCGTATGTATTGTAAATTGGGGTTTTATATCGGTTTTTCTATTTGTTTGTAGTCGCAATGGGGGATTTGTATGTATGAATTATCCAATAATAATTTAAATCAATGTTGAATTGAATATTAATGTTGATGTAAGGTGGATTTTACAGGAAATGATCTTATGTCATAATAATCTTGTATTGTGAGGCTAGCGTTATAGTCATAGACATTGAAGTACGTGTTTACTATTGAGTTGGGCTGTTACTATTATATTGCTATTAAATACTAATCCTTTTAGTTTCCTTACACCTATTTATATTTGTCTAATTGTCATAGGGTTATGTTGTCGTTGAAATAAATTTTCTACATAAATGGCTGTGTAAGTATTTCTTTGGGGAGGTGAGTATTGCAGTTAAGATCAAACTGGTCGTTTGGCTACGAAATTAGTATGGCTGATTTTGCATTGACGTTTATTATCCGGTGTGAAGCATAAATTCTAGATAAAATGATAAGACAAGATTAACGCATTGTTGAATTTCCTGGCATATGAAATTTAGAGGACTTTTATATGTAGTGTAATTTGGGGGTTGGTAAAGCAAAGATTACTCGTGTGTTTTTGTTTGTCTAGGATTTTGATTTCCTTTATTTTTATGTGATTTGTGAGCCATTTGGCTTTGTTGGTAAACGTAATAATATCTTTTGATGTTATTGTTGTTGATGTGATATAAGGGTTAGTTCTTTTTTGGTTTTCCCTTTGTGAAATTGATCTGATATACTGTGATATAAGTGATTGGTATTCCATAGTGAGGATTGTTTGTGATAAAGGAAGTGTTCAAGGACTACAAAAACTTAACATCTGTTTTGTCTGCCTATTTTGGTGTAAATTTTAATTGTATTTAAATTGGAGATCACTAATTTGATGAAGTAGCCAGACAACATGGAGTAGATTCTGATATTGGAATGTTTAATTGTGTCTGCTCTAAATTGAGATGACTATGTTTTTTGGGATCTGATTTAGCGAGTTCTGGATGGTTTGCAAGAGGTGTTAGAAGATGGGCATCGAATTGTTGTTGGATAGTAGTGGTGATTTGTGGTTTGTCACATTGTTGCATGAAGAATCAGATGATGGGTGGAAGATGTATCTCGACATAGGCATCTGGACCTTAGAGCTTCAGACAATGTTAAGTAAGCGACATCATCATTCTCAATTAGTCCTAACTCCAAGGTTGTATCGTAGAAAGTTGGGTAAGTATGGCCATTCACAGTTCGAAGGTCTTCAAATGAACTTGGGCTTCTAACATTAAGTAACAACAATCGGAGGAAAACCGTTCTCCTTCTACAGGATATACAAATGACAACCGCCCAACAGAAAATCTATCGAACGCCCTTTCTTTCCATTTTTTACTACCTACATCCCACCTATAGTACTCACATAATTCACTATATAGATGGAATGTACCACCTTCAATGGCTGCAAAGAATTTAGTCATCTAAGTGCGAGATTTTTTAGAATTAGAAACGACAGCACTTAATTTTTTCATGAGGATACAAATGCACAGTCTATGAATTAGGCAAATGGACTTGCAAAGGTAGAACTGGAGGATGAATTTCAAATAGATCAAAACTGAAAATTCTCCAAGCAGCTTCACAAGGGGAGACCCATCTACCTGATTAGTATTGTTCAATCTCATTAACGGAATTGTAATCACTAGGCACTATATTAAATGAAACCTTATCATGACCCTTGTACACATCTTGTACAAATACTTGAGTACTCTAATTGTAGAACAAATCTCTACATTGAAATGACAGTCAAACAGTGAAGAAAGATAAGTGTTTTAAGGATTTACCCACTAGTTATCAAGGTATTTTCTATGGATGTTGACCTTTTCTCCAGTTTTACGTCTTTGATAGATAGGATAACCATCTTTACTATTAGTTGTTTCGTCTGAAAATTGTTTAGGGTATTTATTTTTATAAACCAAGGTACCACTTCTTTTACGCATAAATGGGCATTCTGGATTCAATTCACCACAAGGACCATGCATCATATGCACAAAAAAATTATCATAATTAGTAGGACACTTCATTTTCCATTCTGATCTCAAGATCACTAAGAAATGAGCGTGTGGCAACCCTCGTTTTTGAAACTAAAAAACATACGCCATTGCAGCAACTTCGCCAAATATCTTCTTTTGCATAATCTCTTTCTTCAAAAGGATTAATTTTGCTCTAAAAATCTGGGCTATTAAATCAGGTCGATCTTGTGCTATTTCATCATAGGCTAACTCAGCTTTAATCTTAGGCCAGTTAGCATTGCATGTGATAGTATTGAAGAAATCAGGCTTCCCATATCTCTGTACCAAAGCCATTGCTGTAACACCCCCAAATCTCCCTCTACGTAAATACTATATTTATACGTATACAAATACCGTAGAGATAGACTTGGGCGTATTACCGCCACGTGAAAACGTAAGGCTTAACTAATTACTCAAATTGCAGCGGAAAAATAACTAACTTTTATTAATAATAAAATGAGTAACCATAATAGCCGTTTCAAAATAATCCAATAAAAACTCCACACATAAATAAAATTAACTCCTAACTATGTGATCCCAATCCCGACACTAGTATGCGCACGAACAACTCCACACCTGAAATCAAGACTGCTTACCAAAAATGGTAAACAGGGCCAACCAAAACAAAAGGAAAACAGATTAGCAAAAACGCTAAGTACGTATAAGTGCAAGGCATGTAAATACTTTAATTAGTCAAACATGTTTTCGAAATAACCATTTAACTTGTCACAAGTCACTTTCAAAATTAGACTTTCTAAAATTAAACCTTCCCAAGGTAGTATTGTTCATCAATCAAAGCTTTCCAAACCAATAGATTTTCAATTTATAAACTTCCAATTTTAAAATATAACTCCAAACCAATTTTCCTCACCTAAGTGTGCACACCCCCCAAGCAAGTTATACTATAATCGAGGAAAGACCTGATCATACAAAGCTCATGGACTTACTTAACCAGTCCCGGGTAGAGGGACAACTAAAATATCAAATACTCAGGCTCATAATGAGCTGCAAATTTTAGATTAACTCAATCAAATGATTTATAAATTAAACCAACTTTTATTAAATCAATCAACACTTTTAGAGATCAAACCTGTAAATCATAAAATCATATATTTTAACTCGTCATAAAAATCATTAACTTAAATATTCATATGTAATATTTATTCAAACAATCATTAAAACAAACATTTACAAACACGCATTCAAAATTGTATCAAGGACCTAGCCACTGCACCTATACGTACCTTGATCACGAGAACAAATAAGGTACGATCACTAAACTTGACCACGATCGAGGGACTCCTCCTACACAATTAAAATAACATTAATTAATATAAGGTTAACAAAACTAACACAAAACTATAAATAATACTCTATTTGTGCATGGAATATCTAAATATTAACCTTTATAAGATCAAGTCTTGTTAACAAGTTATTTTAGTATCAAAATAACAATCTTAGTATCAAAATAGTATTGTTAGTATCATAAATGGGTATTAGAAAACATAATAATAATAATAATTTATGATAAGTAAGGGAATATGAAGAGTAGTATGCATATGTATTGGCCAGGGGTAAGGAGGGAAGGTGCGTATTGCACCTTACTGGCAGCAGATAGCGTCAAGCAAGGACGGCAGCGGCAAGTTATTTCCGGTGACAATAAGGTCGCGGCTAGGGTGGTGGCAATACTTGGTTGCGGTTGCGGTGTTTAATCAAACAAGGAGGGAATAGAGGAGGGCGTGAGATTGAGAGTAGAGTAAAGAGTTTTCTGATTTTTGGTGTGAGGAATTTGTGAAGGGTTGAGGGTCTATTTATAGTTTTTAAGGGTGGAAAAGATAGAGTTTAAGAAGGTATAGGATTAATGTGAAAACTAGATAAGTTTGGTTAGTTAAATGAACTTGAATGTCATTTAGCTTAGGTTAATTGGTTAGAGAAATAAGATAGGAAGATAAATTAGGAGATTATATCACTTAAGGAATATAAATTAGGAAGATAGGAAGATAAATTAGGAAGATAAACACACGGCCAACTTTTTTTTTTTTTTTTTTTTATAAATGAATGAAAATCATACTTAAATAAGTAATTAACAAATATAAATAATTTAGATAATATTAAAACTAAGTTAGTTGTAAATCATATTAGATATTATCTTTAAAAACTCTTGAAATTGCTAGTATAAAATATAAACCGGCCTTTAAAAGATAATTAAGCCTATATTATTAATTTAGAAATCCGAAAATAATTAATTATTCAAATGATTAAATACTTATATTTGGTGCCAAAATTTAAAATTCATTTTGGCTCCAAATTAAATAATTTAATAACTTTCCAAAATATTTTTTAAAAATTCAGGGTATTACAGTCTACCCCCCTTAAAAGAAGTTTCGTCCCGAAACTTAAAATTATTTAATAACTCGAATTAATACTCCAAATTATCTTAAATTGGTTAAAATTTAGTATGTTCATGCACAACCTAAAGACTTTACTCAAAAGACTCACTTAATAAAGACTTAAAAAGGAAAGCGTGAAACTCTATTGCATTCTACCCCCCTTAAAAGGAAGTTATGTCCCCGTAACTTAACCACTCACCATGAAAAGGTTAGGGTACTTTTTACCCATTTCTTCCTCAGCCTCCCAAGTTGCTTCCTCAACCTTATGGTTCGACCATAGAACCTTGACAATCTTCACATCCTTGTTTCTAGTGCTTTTAACTTTACTATCTAAAATTCTCACCGGTCTTTCTTCATAGGTCAAACTTTCATCTAGCTCCATTGTCTCTGGTTCTAGCACATGTGCAACATCAGGAACATACTTGCCAATCTGGCTCACATGAAAAACATTATGCACCCTTTCAAACTCGTTGGGTAAGTCCAACTTATATGCTACTTTCCTAACTTTTTGAAGAATCTCATATGGCCCAATGTACTTTGGGCTCAGCTTTCCCCTCTTACCAAATCTCATTACCCCCTTCATATGAGATATCTTCAGCAACACCTTCTCTCCTATTTGGAATTCTACATCCCTACGCTTCTCGTCAGCATAGCTTTTTTGTCTATCTTAGGCTGCTTTGATTTTCTCCTGGATCAACTTCACTTGCTTAATAGTTTCCTCGATCATTTCAGGCCCAAGAACAATAGTTTCACTTATGTCACTCCAACAAACTGGGCTCCTACATTTCCTTCCATACAAGGCTTCAAACGGGGCCATTCCAATGCTTGCATGATGAATATTATTTTACGAAAACTCAATCAAGTCTAAGTGGTCTTCCCATGAACCTCGATACTCCAGTACACATGCTCTCAACATGTCCTCCAAGGTCTGGATGGTCCTTTCAGTCTGACCATTAGTTGCAGGGTGAAAAGATGTGCTCATCAGTAACTTTGTTCCCATAGCCTTTTGCAAGATTTTCCAAAAGTTAGACAAGAACCTCGAATCACGATCTCAAATGATATCTGTAGGCACTCAATGATACTTCACCACAAACTTCATATATGCCCTTCCTAACTGATCCATAGAAAAAGTGTTTTTCATAGGTATAAAGGTTGCAGACTTAGTCAATCGATCCACAATGACCCAAATCGTGTCATTCCCTGCCCTGGTCCTTGGTAATGCCTCCACAAAATCCATGGCAATCGAATCCTACTTCCACTTTGGTACTTCCAACGACTTAACCATTCCTTGTGGCCTTCGATGCTCTATCTTCACTTTCTGGCATGTTAAGCATTTTGCACAAACTCTGCTACTTCTCTCTTCATGTTTGGCCACCAAAAGACCTTCTTTATATCCTTATACAACTTATCCCCTCCAGGATGCATTAAATAAGGAGAGCTATGGGCCTCCTCCATCAGTCTCTGCTTGATGTCCCCACGATTTTGTGGAACACACCATCTCCCTTTAAAGCAAATACTTCCCTCATCAGCAATAGTAAAGTCTAAAACCTGCCCTTTCTCAATCTTCTCTTTTATTGCCTTCAACTTTGAGTCTCCCAACTGACTTTCTCTAATATCATCATAAATAGAAGGTTTCACTGTCCAGGCATTCAACATCTTACTGACCTCTTCGTGCTCCATCACTTCTAAATTCATCTTCTGAAATTCTACACACAGTTGGTCTGGCAAAATCATCATATTCATCAATTGACTGGTTTTCCTACTAAAAGCATCAGCTACCACATTAGCTTTCCCTTCATGATATTGGATTCACACTATAATCTTTCATAAATTCCAACCATCGTCTCTATCTCGAGTTCAAATACTGCTGAGTGTAAATGTACTTTAGACTCTGATGATCTGTGAACATTTTACAAGTTGCACCATATAGATAATGTCTCCAAATTTTCAAAGCAAACACAATCGCAGCTAACTCCAGGTCATGGGTTGGATAGTTCACCTCATGCAGTTTCAACTGTCTCGAAGCATATGCAATGACCCTCCGATTCTGCATTAAAACACAACCTAATCCAAACTTCGATGCATCACTATACACCTCATATTGCCCACTTTCATCTGGAAAAGCCAACACTAGTGCTGAGGTTAACTTGTCTTTCAAGGCCAGGAACGCTTGTTCACACTCCTGGGTCCAAACAAACTTACATTCCTTCTTCATTAAATTCATCATGGGCCTCGCAATCCTCGAAAAATCCTTCACAAGTCTTTGGTAATAGCCTGCTAATCCCAAGAAACTTCAAACATCTGACACATTCTTAGGTGTTGGCCATTCACTCACTGCATTGATCTTCGAGTGATCTACTGAAATTCCTTCCCTAGAAATCACATGACCCAAAAAGGCTACCTTTTCTAACCAAAACTGACACTTCTACAACTTAGCATACAATTGGTGCTCCCTCAGGATCGACAATACTTTCCTTAAATGATTTTCATGCTCCTCCCTATTCTTGCAGTAGATCAAAATATCATCAATGAAAACCACCACAAACTTATCCAAATATGGCCTAAAGATTCGGTTCATCAAATCCATAAAAACTGCAGGTGCATTAGTTAACCTAAATGGCATAACTGTGAACTCATAATGACCATAAAGCATCCTGAAATCACTCTTGGCAATGTCTTGCTATGTAATTCTCAACTGATGGTACCCTGACCTCAAATCTATCTTGAAAAAATATTCCAGCCCCTTTCAACTGATCAAACAAATCATCAATTCTAGGCAAAGGATACTTATTCTTGACTGTCACATTATTCAACTCACGATAGTCTATGCACAACCTCAAACTTCCATCCTTCTTTTTCACAAACAACACTAGAGCACCCCATGGAGAAGAACTAGGTCGAATATATCCCTTATCCAACAAGTCATCTAACTGTGTTTTCAATTCCTTCATCTCAGCTGGAGTCATCCTATATGGAGCCTTCGAGATAGATCCAGTCCCTAGTAGCAATTCTATGGTGAACCCAAATCCCTTACTGGAGGCATACCTGGTATCTCATCAGGAAACACATCTGGAAATTCCTCAACTACTGGAATACTCTCTTACTTCTCATCCTCCCTTCCCACTTCCTGAACACTACACATGTATATAGGATAACCCTTCCTGACACAATTCCGAAATTGCAAGGCAGAAATGATTTTGATCCCTGAACTCTTCCCTTCCTTCCTATAAGTCACTGTCACATTACCCGGACCCAACAATTTCACTTTATGAGCAGCACAATCTATGCGAGCCTTATCCAGCCAGCCCATTCCTAAAATCACATCTAAGTCTTGCAAATCAAACTCTATCAAATCTAAAGGAAATTCTACTCCAACTATGGTGATAGGTACCCCTTTATATGACTTAGAATAATTCCTCACTTCCCCAGGTGGAATAGAAACATCTAGACACACTAACAATGGACTCTCTAACTTTAATCTCTGGACTAGAGATTTTGAAACAAAAGATTGAGGCGCACTCGAATCAAACATGTCTCTAGCATTCAAAGAACAAACAAGGAAAGTGCCAATTACCACATCATTAGAAGCCTCAGCCTCACGACAATTCATTACGAACACACGACCCTTAGGGGCCCCTCCTGCACCGCTACTAGTTCCATTTCTCTGAGCTGATCCATTGGTCTTAGGTGGTTTAGGTTGGTTATTGGTCTCCTGGACTTTTCCCATCTTAACATCCTTCTCCTTGGTGTAGCACTCATACTCCCGATGCCCCAGTTTCAGTTTCAGACAGTAATGACAAGTCACAGGGTTTCCTTCACAGTCCTTCCCTCGTGATTTTTCTCACATCTCTTACAAAAATAACTTCTCTTAGGCCTGGTGTTATTTTCATTCCCATGATTGTTATTTCCATGTCCATTAGCTCCCTTCCTAAGGTTTCCCCTATTGTCCCTCCTGTTGAATTTCCCATTTCCCCTAGAACTCTCCCTAAACCTAGGCCTCTTATTAACTCCATGTGAACCTCCATCACTCTTCCTTTTCCCTCTAGCTGAGTTCTCTAACTCTCTCCCTTGGATCCTATATAGGTGGGCAACTCTCCCATAGACTTTATCTAGTGTTTCAAAGGTTACCCCTCCCAACTTCCCCTGAAGACTTAGGGTCAAACCTTGCTCGAACCTTTGGGCTTTCAACTCCTCCGCGGGTACTACCTCAGGTGAAAACCTCATCAACTCAATAAATTTATTATAATATTCATTAATGGTCATATTCCCCATCCTCAGATTGGTAAACTCCATGCATTTCTACTTCTTCAGGTAGGCGGGATAAAACTTGTCTCTTATAGCCTTCTTCATCTTTCCACCCAAAGTTAGGGGTTTCTAAAAGCTAGTCCGGTTTTGACTCCACCATAGGTCAGCTTCTTTCCTCAAGTAATAAACAACATTATTAACCTTCAATTCTTCAGGACAGTTAATGGCATCAAACAACTTGTCAAATTCCCTTTTCCAATTCTCCAAACTAGCAGGATCCTCCTTCCCAAGGTAAGTGGGTGGCTTTGCAGCTACTATCCTCTTAAAAACTTCCCCAAATTGATCTAAGTCGTTGCTACAATTCCCCTGACTCACCAGCTGGCTCATGCTTTGAGCAATAGTAGTTAGCTTCCTAAGAGTATAGCTCATTTTGGAACTAGTGCGTCTACTATTTCTGGCTCTTAGAGACATCCTGAATAACTTTAAATAACAAATACACATTTATTATATAAGAAAATTTCATAAAACTATTATTAAAGATTGAAACTCCAAATTTACCCACATAGGCTTATTAAAATAATTAATTCATCTTGTCACTACAAATTCATAAGGGCCACTAGTTGGCTTACAAAACAAAACAATTTGCTATTAATGGAAGAAATCAATCAATTATTATTCTGAAATTCTACTCTTGGTCTTAGCTTGCTGGATCATCTTTCTGGCCACGTCACCTGTGTTTCCTGTGGAAAGGTGAAGGGAATAAGGTTCTTAAGGTTTAGCCATGTGGGTTGAAATTTGGTTACATTCAAGTAATAAGGTAGGATAAAATTCACTATAAGTTGGGCTACGACACGAGCCATAGCTAGAGTTGCGGTTTGGGCTAACATAGGGGCTAGGGTTACGGTTTGTACTGTGTTTTGGACTAGATACTCGACCTCTTGGACAAGGGGTTCAGGAGAATGAGGTTGGGACTCAAAGTCATTTGGGTGAGGGATTTTTAAGTCAGCGGATGATGTATAGTCAAGATGCAAACGTGGAGGTGGTAAGGGTGGCATATCATAGTTTAGATTATTTAACTTTTGGACTTCTTGAGGTGTAAGCCGAAGAGGAATTTCAGCAACTATTGGTGTTGGGATTTGGCTCCAGTCAACTTCGGCGAAATGTAGGTCTGCTTTAAAATTGGTTAAGGTTCCTAGCCATTTTCCTTCATGCATATAGGCTTCAATATTCCACAACCCATTAGGTTTAATGAAATTTCTATACTTTTGGATTAATGTATTATATTTAGGTGTTTTGGGTAAGTGAACTAAGGCCAGTAGGATGATCCAAAGTTCCTCGATCATAAATTTCATATTCCTATGTCTTTTTATATCAGTAGCATGCCAAACAATGTCTGTTATAAAGTCACACACAGATATAGCATCCGATTTTCTAGCCTTTGTTCAAAGAAATGTCTTCTAACAGTTTCCATCATCTGAGATAACACAAACTATTTAAGTAAGCAATTTAAATTTCCTCAATGATAAATCTAAAATGAATACTAATAGAACTGAAACACAAATAAATAGACGACCCTATTTATACTTAGACTAATGCACATTAGGTGTTTAAAAAATCAAATAGTTTCAATTCATTTTGTTTTCGAAAATAATATTGTACTCGATTCTTGATATTGGACGGTCGAGCCCGCATCTCCTAGGAAAGTTTCCTACAACGTCCAGGAGAACCTTTCCTAGACAGAGAGTCGTACCCATTATAGGCCTCCGAAGAGAACCCAAGCATCCTTTTCTGAATCATCTTTCCAAATAAGAAAATAGTTTTTATAGAAAATAATTTTACTTTCGAAGCATGCGAAACTCTATCTATCCTATATGCCCATCTTAAGTCTACCCATAAGTTTAATTTCTCAATTTTAATCTTTCTTAGACCCGGAAATATAATACCACTTTGTAACACCCCCAAATCTCCCTCTACGTAAATACTATATTTATACGTATACAAATACCATAGAGATAGACTTGGGCATATTATCGCCACATGAAAACGTAAGGCCTAACTAATTACTCAAATTGCAGCGGAAAAATAACTAACTTTTATTAATAATAAAATGAGTAACCATAATATCTGTTTCCAAATAATCTAATAAAAACTCCACACATAAATAAAATTAACTCCTAACTATGTGATCCCAATCCCGACTCTAGTATGCACACGAACAACTCCACACCTAAAATCAAGACTGCTTACAATAAATGGTAAACTGGGAGAACCAAAATAAAAGGAAAACAGATTAGAAAAAATGCTAAGTACATATAAGTGCAAGGCATGTAAATACTTGTATTAGTCAAACATGTTTTCCAAATAACCATTTAACTTGTCACAAGTCACTTTCAAAATCAGACGTTCTAAAACTAAACCTTCCAAGGGTAGTATTGTTCATCAATTAAAGCTTTCCAACCAATAGATTTTCGATTTATAAACTCCCAATTTTAAAATATAACTCCAAACCAATTTTCCTCACCTAAGTGTGCACACCCCCTAAGCAAGTTATACTATACTCGAGGAAAGACCAGATCATACAAAGCTCATGGTCTTACTTAACCATTCCCGGGTAGAGGGGCAATTAAAATATCAAATACTCAGGCTCATAATGAGCTGCAAATGTTATATTAACTCAATCAAATGATTTATAAACTAAATCAACTTTTATTAAATCAATCAACACCTTTAGAGATCAAACCTTTAAATCATAAAATCATATATTTTAACTCGTCATAAAAATCATTAACTTAAATATTCATATGTAGCATTTATTCAAACAATCATTAAAATAAAAATTTACCAAACACACATTTCAAAATTGTATCAAGGACCTAGCCACCATACGTACCTTGATCACGAGAACAAATAAGGTACGATCACTAAACTTGACCACGATCGAGGGACTCCTCCTACACAATTAAAATAACCTTAATTAATATGAGGTTAACAAATCTAACACAAAACTATAAATAATACTCTATTTGTGCATGGACTACCTAAATATTAACCTTTATATGATCAAGTCTTGTTAACAAGTTATTTTAGTATCAAAATAACACTCTTAGTATCAAAATAGTATTGTTAGTATCATAAATGGGTATTAGAATACATAATAATAATAATAATAATAATAATAATAATAATAATAATAATAATAATAATAATAATAATAATAATAATAATAATAATAATTTATGATAAGTAAGGGAATATGAAGAGTAGTATTTATATGTATTGTCAAGGGGTAAGGAGGGAAGGTGCGTATTGCACCTTACTGGCAGCAGATAGCGTCAAACAAGGACGACATCGGCAAGTTGTTTCCGGCGACAATAAGGTGGCGGCTAGGGTGGTGGCAATACTTGGTTGCGATTGCGATGTTTAATCAAACAAGGAGCGAATAGAGGAGGGCGTGAGATTGAGAGTAGAGTAAAGAGTTTTCTGATTTTTGGCGTGAGGAAATTGTGAAGGGTTGAAGGTCTATTTATAGTTTTTAAGGGTGGAAAAGATAGAGTTCAAGAAGGTATAGGATTAGTGTGAAAACTAGATAAGTTTGGTTAGTTAAATGAACTTGAATGTCATTTAGCCTAAGTTAATTTATGTGAAAAAAGTAAGATAGGTGTTAATTGGTTATAGAAATAAGATAGGAATATAAATTAGGAGATTATATCACTTAAGGAATATAAATTAGGAAGATAGGAAGATAAATTAGGAAGATAAACACACGGCCAACTTTTTTTTTTTTTTTTATAAATGAATGAAAATCATACTTAAATAAGTAATTAACAAATATAAATAATTTAGATAATATTAAAACTAAGTTAGTTGTAAATCATATTAGATATTATCTTTAAAAACTCTTGAAATTGCTATTATAAAATATAAACCGACCTTTAAAAGATAATTAAGCCTATATTATTAATTTAGAAATCCGAAAATAATTAATTATTCAAATGATTAAATATATATTTGGAGCCAAAATTTAAAATTCATTTTGGCTCCAAATTAAATAATTTGATAACTTTCCAAAATATTTTATAAAAATTCAGGGTATTACTATTGCATTGAGATAACACTTCTTCATATCCCGAGGGCCTCCAATGAATGAGAGTATTACATGACATACATTACGAGCAACTGTTTCAGCATAGTCTAGCAAATCTAGAATGCCCTGATAAAGATCAACCCTTATGATGTCTTGATTGTTCCCAAAGAAACCTAGACGCGTGTTTTCAATTTTGACACACATGTCAACTATATATTGCTGAAAACATCTACTGGATTGCAATATCATATAATGATCCCGGATTTGTAACTTGTAAGCATAATATTCCCTCGGAGAAATGAACTTATTTGCTTTGGTTTGTTTTTATTACGTGCCCTTGCATAATAACATCATTTACAGTTAATGTACACTTCTATGACTCAATAACAAGAAGCAAT